TTAAATATCAGAATCTGAATTTGAGATGCACAGTCTGAAAATCTGAATTTATATCAGATACTCAATGCAGGGAACTCTCATTTTAAGACTTACATTATAATTGGTGGATTTTAATTACCAGCATGGATTCTCAGCACCACTAGGGAACACTTTTTTAATGCTGGTGTTATCCCATGGGCAAGGAGAACTACAGTAGCAAAAAGAATTAAAAAGAAGCAGCAGGAGCAATAGTATATGGAATCACACATTAGCATAATCAGTTTTTCGCCAACACAGAGAACAGCTTGCATAGCCAGAAGGTTTCAAAACCATAAGGTTTTACTCCTTCGAAATAAGTTGATCACAGTTTCAGACACAATAGAAATAACCTCAAAACCATGACAAACAAAACATGCATTTATTGAAGCCATTAAAACCTGTAAGTTCGATGACAATTTTTAAGGATTGTGAAATGCTAATACAAAATGTTACACTTGTCTTTAAGGACTGGTTTTCTTCAAGCAGCAGATAAGTATTATTTCAAGCAGCTTTTATTATTTAAATCGTTTATATATTTTTATTGTACTTTTATGGTTGTTAGCCGTCTAGACTGGTCCTGACCCAATCAGATAGGCGGGATATAAATAAAATAAAATAAATAAATAAAATATTGGCTGTGACATTCAGCCTGCTTTTAGCGGGACTGCACTACCCTAGGAGAAGCACTATTATGGTCTGGTGACAATCACAGATTCAATTCTGACACTTGAGGCCCAGACACCTCGCCTCTCCCTTTCCACTTATACTTTGATCACCCAAAAGATGCACTGCTGGTTTGTCTTTTAAAAAGAGACCACTTACAATCCTACAAAGACACTGGCTGCAGTTATCCATTCACAGATAACAGTCTCACCTGGGTTGCTGTAATTCATTTTCAATGAATGTGGGTATTGTTTGTATGCACGATTCAAAAGGCCAGGAAATGGCCTGACATTGCTGCACAATATTGTTTCCATGTTGACAAGCAGGAAAAAGAATGCCAAGCTTTACATAGTTTAAGGCAGCCTAAAGGTTGACAACATCAATGGCAGCAGTTAAGATGGTCTACACAGGACACCTGCTTGTGCTCACTATTGACAAAATGACATCAAGCAATGGAAAATGTCTGAAGTGGTTTGTTTGTTTTAAATCAGTTATGATCTTCCTGTCACACTGTATATACTTTTAAAAAGCTTTGGAGACTGTGAAGGTACTTAGTGAGACCTCCTACATTTAGGGTCTCTCTCTTACACACACACACACACACAATAATGAAGGAGCTGAAAGAAGTGAACAATAACCAGAAAAAGAGAGCAAAAGGCTGAAAGCCAGTGGAAGCAAGACACTGAAAGTTCTGGATAACGTTTGGGATGTGTTGTGAATTTCACAGTAGACCATGAGAAATTGGGGAGAGGGGGATAGGAGCTCTTCATAGTCATTCCAGCTAGTGAGCAGGTAGGATGCCCACTAAAAAGCTCTTGAGATTCCCAAGAAGTGCTGTCCTCTGAAGATGCTGGCCACAGAGACTGGCGAAACGTTGGGAAGAACAACCTTCAGAACACAGCCAAAGAGTCCGAAAAACCCACAACAACCATTCCCAAGAAATCCTTAACATGCACAGAACTATATGTAAGAGTTAGAGACCACTAAGGGCACAGGCTGCCCAGTCCTGGGAGGGCTATGGACCAGCAGTGGGCCATGGACCGGGGGTTGGGGAGCCCTGCTGCAGAGAATCCACTCTCAATGTCCTATCTGATGCATACAAAGGCTTTTTAAAATGCCCAGAATTTTTGCACAGCTTACTTTAGCTGTTATTTTGCTCCTTTAGATCAGCGTTCCCCAACCTTTTTTGGACCGCGAACCAGTTGGGGGGTGCAGGCTCAGTGCGTGGGGGTACCTCTGCCTCGCAGGCGGGCATGTCACGCTTGTGGGTGGGCGTGTCCCGCTCGCAGGTTTCTCTATCTCACTATCTACACTCACTGGAAGAACAGATCCTGAAGCTGAGGCTCCAATACTTTGGCCATCTCATGAGAAGAGAAGACTCCCTGGAAAAGACCCTGATGTTGGGAAAGTGTGAGGGCAAGAGGAGAAAGGGACGACAGAGGACGAGATGGTTGGACAGTGTCATCGAAGCTACCAACATGAATTTGACCCAACTCCTGGAGGCAGTGGAAGACAGGAGGGCCTGGCGTGCTCTCGTCCATGAGGTCACGAAAAGCTGAACACGATTAAACGACTAAACAACAAAATCTACAAAGGTGTCCAAGGTAAACGTACAATTCATTTTAGAAGTTAAAGAGTAGCACTTACGTAAACCAATTCTTAGCAAGTATAGGATTGAATTTTTAAAAAATCTATGTAAAAGTGTTTATTTATACAATGGCTTCTATTATCTTGTGACTTTGTCATCCTTCATTTATGCATGGGAATGAAATAATGAACAAACAGTAAATAGAACACTTTTGAAATCAAAACAGCTGCACCTAAATTAGGCAGGAAAATTCCTAATATAGAATATTGCCAGCTTTTGCCCCTCCCCCATCCCATTAGAGATAAAGAGAATATATTTTCCATAGACACAGCGGAAAACTAAGCATTATATTTAACAGGAACGGCAGAAGGGAAAATGAAATATCTGTAACAGAAAAGAAGAAAATCCAAGTCTATTCTAGTGTATTCCATGTGACATCCTTTCCACAATCACATATTTTTTTCAAATCTTACATAAATGCATTGATCATATCTATGTATTTCTATAAAGAAAACTTTTAAATTTGTCATTAAAATCTTAGTACCATTGTCAGAGGGATGTTCTTCTGGTCTCCTACGTATAGAATACAAGGGGGTGTTGATAAGTATTGAGCCTTTCCTAGAAAAATGTGAGCTAGGAAGCTGTAACTGCCACACTATTCTACATAGTCCCCCAGGAACTCAATGCACTTGCAACATCTGTCCTGCAAGACACTTTCAAGGGTTCCAGTCCTTCACTTACACTTTTATCAGACTACTAGGTCTCTTAAGCTCAGGAAATTCACTTTTTACTTTGGCGTACTGGACTGTATTTGAATCCTGCTGCTGGTCACCACTTTGTTGCATACACCCTGTGTCCTTGGTTTATTTTCTCTAATCCCAAGTCCACCCTCTGGATGTGTTTCCTCACATCACGCTGCCACCAGGTATTATTCCCTCAATACTAAAAAGATCTTAGACACGTGCTGCCAATTCAACAGATTTATTGATTTTATAGATGTCATGCACATCACAGGAGTAAATCACAGATGTTTAGGCTATTCATTAAATATTATTTGCTTGCACGTTGGGTTGTATGTATATCTACACTACAATCGCAAAAATCTGGATTTAAACCACTTTAACTGTATAGCTTCTCCAGCAGACTGGTGGAAATTTTAAGTAAAGGCAGACATACATTCTAAAGATTTTGACCTTGTCTATCATGGAAAAAATTTTTTTTGAGATACAACAAATGTGTTTCAATATCACTTCCACCACATTTTAGTATGGCTGCCTTTCCAAAAACATACTGGTATGAAATATTCCTAGTCAGACTATATTATAATTTCCTGTTGGACAACTTTCTTTTTCACATAATTTTCCAAGATTCTCTTTACATTTCTAGAATTACTGTGAACAGAGAAAGAGAGTACAGTGGTGTCTCGCTTAACGAGCGCACCGTTTAACGACGAATCCGCATAGCGATGTCGCAATTGCGATCGCAAAAGCAATCGCATTGTGATGTTTAGATAGGGAAAAAATCGCTTTGCGACGATCGGTAAGCTTACCAGTTTTCGCATAGCGATTTTTAAAAACAGCTGATCGGCGGTTCCAAAATGGCCGCCGGGCGCCGAAAATGGCCACGTGCAGCATTTTCACACCCTGCCCTCGCTTACCAAGGGTGCGAAAATGGTGGCACTATGGGGAAACTTTGCACAACGGTGAGTTTAGGAGCCATAGGAACACATTAAACTAAGTTTAATGAGTTTCTATGGCACTTTCGGTTCCGTATAGTGATGTTTCCCCATAGCGACGGTTAATCCGGAACGGATAAACCTCGCTATGCGGGGTACCACTGTAGATACAGTACCACCTGACAAAATAAGCCACTACAGTATTTATTCTGTATTTGGCCTATAGCCTATGTACGTATTACCAAATTCCTACATAGAACAGCCCCGTACATATTCATATAAAGTTTATATTTAAATTGTATATTTACATTGTAACAATTCCCCTCGATATCCCCTTTACTAAGCTGAAAACTCACAGGTGGCAAGCCTTCCTTAGTAGTTGTTAATTGAGTGTAGTGTGAAAAAGATGTCTGCTGACTTTTCCCTTTATAGTGATGAACATATTATATAAGGCATACAAGATATGATTCCCAACCACTGGTGTGGTTTTTTGCAAAAAGCAGAACCTTGTGACTTAGAATATTAGGTTTAAATATTTTATTCAAACAGATTCAAGGCTTCATGTGGAAATTACTTTATTAGTATACTTATAATAATGTAAAGAAAATAGCACATACCCAGCGGGATGAAGTGGATAGTGACAGACTGGGACTCAGGAGGCAAGGGTTCAAATCATCACTCGGCAAGTTCCCTCTAATTTTTTGCCCCACTGCACAGGAGCCTCACCCCATGTGCACACGGGGGCGGGGTTTCATCCAAAACCACAACTACATGGGTCTCAACACCAGCTGCCAGCGTGCAGGCCTGATGGAGCTCTGCACATGAACAGCATAGAGGGAACATTGGCACCTGGCCATAGAAACTCTCTGGGAGTATGGAAATAGTAAAATTATTCTGTAAATACCTCACTTACCTTGAAAGACCTGTTAGGGCCACTATAAATTGGTTCCAACTTGACAACACATAACAGAAAAGAAAACAGCATATATTTCTCTCATATTTAAGCCCTGCCCAAAAAACCTACAACTGAACAAATACTTTTTAAAGGATACATACCTAAAGAAAATTGTACGCGATATACCTTATGTCAACAGTTTAACTTTCTTTTGCTGGGGTATAACTGTCGTATCTTCAGCTTCATTCACTCCCTGCACTACAAAAGCAAAAGAAGGTAAAACTTTTATTAAACTATGAAGTTTAACATTTTAACTTTTAATCTATATTGGTCTTTACAAGGCTATGCACCAATATATTGTGGATAGTGCAGAAAAAATATTAAAATAGGAATGTCACAAAAATCATGGTAGATGTCAGTACCAGATGTTTCTTAAAAGCGAGTTCCAAAATGCAGTCAATCAATCAATACCGCCTTATGTAAGTCTAAGAAAATAACAATAGTAATGTACTTTCAAGTCAATTCTGACTTGCAACTTTTGAACTGCAGCGTTGGAAAGGACCCTATGGATCATCTAGTCCAGCCCCTCTCAACGAAGCACAGTTGGGAACTGAATTCCCAACATCTGGCAGGGTTTGCCAGGTAGAGAATATTCAGAAGTGGTTAATCACTCCCTTCTTCTGAGGGAACCCTGGGACTATGCAGCTTGCCCAAGGCCACAAAGACTGTCTCTACTTGCAGGAGACACAGTGAGAAATCAAATTCCCAACCTCTGGCCCTAGAGTCAGATGTCTAAACCACTGTTGAAAACAGGGGAGATCTCAAGGCCAGCCAAAGTTTTCATGCAGCCACCACCACTACCCCATAGCACACAAGTGAGCACAAATGTCCATCCAGTCTTGCCCATATTGTGGCAAGAGAAAGGTAGCAGAAGTGGCAGCATGCTCACACACCCCTCCACTGTATATGGGGGATGGAAGGAGAGAGTAGCAATGTCCAATTCAGAAGCTCTATGGGCAGAGCTTTAAACTATTTTAATGGTGAATAGGATTTTTTTCTTAATCTGCAATTACAGCTAGCAGGCCCATCCAGTAAACCTATATCATCAACAAACAATACTGAGTCTGAAAGGTTAATAAATTCTAATGCCAACCTGGCCCTATCCAAACACATACATGGAGCCCAACATTTATAAGTAAGCATGAAAAAGACCTCCTAAAACGATTCAATGGGACTTAATGTCACAAACATAATATTAAAGCCTTGTGGTTGCAGATATATTTACTGGAAAAAAAATATCTGGTGGAGGTAATTTAAGGAGTCAGCAGAATCATCTGGCTAAGCTTTTCCTCTAGGCTGCAGAGACTTCAAATATTCCAATAACCTCTGGAAAACTAACAAATTCGGAAGAACACTATGCTGAGTCCTTCTCCCAATGACTCAGCATAGAGTTATTCAATTCTGTAAAAGCATGAATCCAATATGTCTTAGCTGACAGTGTTCAGTAGCAGGTTGGACTTGATTTAAATCAAATCAATTTAAATCATGATTAAATTCTTTAAAAAAATTAAATAGATAGATGCTCATAATATAAGCCCTACCCCAAAAATAAGCCCTAGTTAAGTGAAACCCCGCCCTGCACCGTTGTGCAGCAACCAATAGGTAACATGACTGTATTTGAATAAATGTAGATTGTTGTACATCGAAAAAAATAAAACATCCCATGAAAATAAGCCGTACTGTGTTTTTTGGAGCAAAAATTAATATAAGACCCTGTCTTATTTTCGGGAAAACATGGTATTTTTTTTTAAAAAAAAATATTTACCCTGGTAGACTGTGGGAATTTATTTTACATCTTGGTAGAACCAACATTACATAATCCATTACCTAAGGTGACATCTTGGAATTTTATATAGAAGACCCACTATGGACTAAGCTGCATGCCAAAATGCTGACACAACTATTTTGAGCATTTTCAATCTTCCCATAAGGAGATGATTAATTTTAAAATAATAGTCAATGGATAATTAAGAAGGGTTTATCTTCCTTCTAATGGTAATCAAAACAAGCATTGACTATGTCTTCCACATTCTTTTTTTACAAGTAGTCTTTAGTTCCTACCCAGGTGCAAAAAAATCCTGGGATATTTTCTGACCCCATGGAATTTCCAATGTATTGAGAGTTAGCAGAAGAGTTGTGGTTAAAGGGGTCTTGTACTTCCTGAACCCCTTTACGGATTGCTGCCTTGTCATGGATCTTGTACTTCCTGAACCCCTTCATGGATTGCTGCCTTGTCATGGCGAAGGGGCTTGAGTAATTCAGAGAAGTGAAGTTATGGAGGCACTGACAGATTTTACTTTCCTGGGCTCCATGCTCACTGCAGATGGTGACAGCAGCCATGAAATTAAAAGACGCCTGCTTCTTGGGAGGAAAGCGATAACAAACCTAGACAACATCTTAAAAAGCAGAGACATCACCTTGCTAACAAAGGTCTGCATAGTCTAAGCTATGGTTTTATTTTTTAATTTTTATTTATTTATTTTATTTATATCCCGCCTATCTAGTCGGTTAAGACCACTCTAGGCGGCTGGTTTTTCCAGTAGCGATGTATGGAAGTGAGAGCTGGACCATAAAGATAGCTGACCGCCGAAGAATTGATGCTTTTGAATTGTGGTCCTGGAGGAGACTCTTGGGAGTCCCCTGGACTGCAAGGAGAACAAACCTATCCATTCTGAAGGAAATCAACCGTGAGTGCTTACTGGAAGGACAGATCCTGAAGCTGAGGCTCTAATACTTTGGCCATCTCATGAGAAGAGAAGACTCCCTGGAAAGGACCCTGATGTTGGGAAAGAGTGATGGCAAGAGGAGGGGACGACAGAGGACGAGATGGTTGGACAGTGTCATCGAAGCTACCAACATGAATTTGATCCAACTCCGGGAGGCAGTGGAAGACAGGAGGGCCTAGCCTGCTCTGGTCCATGGACTCATAAAGAGTCGGACACAACTTAACGACTAAACAACAAAACTTCCTGAAACCACTAAGAATATCAATATACCATTCTATCTACTGTGCAGCCAATCTGACAACCAGAATGTACCATTTCAACTACTGTGTCTCAAGGCTTACTGAAAAGTAGGATGAGGACTTTTTAAAATCCCAATAAATTCTGAGGGTCAGGGCAAAAAAATTACCCACAGCAAAATGCAACAACTTTGGTTGAACATATTGTGCCCCAGTTGATGCTTTCCCGTTTTTTTTTTAATGTACTTGGCTAAGTGGCTGGAAATGTGGGGATATGGTTAACAAATCTTCAAGTGACAGCACATCTAATTCTATGCGAACTTTGTAACAAAATGTAACTCTGGGGTAATAAAATATCACGAACAAGTGTTAACATAAATTTGGTAAGAAAGGAACAACACTGATTAAGTTTGTCTATTCTTTTCACACATACTTCCCATTCAGGAGCTACAATGAAATTTGTTATCAGTTGTCCATTCGGGTGACAGATCAGAATTTGGAAATGACATTAACAATTCTCTCAGCAACAGAGTCAGAGCACTCACTGGCTTTCAACTGGCAACTGCAGATTTGACTCAAAAAAAACCTGAAATGTGTAAATAAAGTATAAAAAATTAAAACATGTGAAGAGATGCCTATTATCACTTTCACAGGAAATATATTTTCAAATATTGAAGTTCAAGCTACCAAGGAATACACTTTTAAACAAAAATCTTAAATTACTACCCACATAGTGACAAAGATATCTGGTTGTGTAGCCAGAGGCTCAGAGTTTGATTTCTAGCTGTACCTCCCCAGAAAAAAGCCTTGGACAAGCTGTCCAGTCCCTCAGAAGGGAGTAGTATTCTCTGCCTCGAAAACCATGGAAAGGATTGCCATAAATCAGAATTGACTTGACAGCATAACATATTCTGATATTACCAAAAAGAAGATAGATGTTGTCTTCCTGAATTGAGGCAACAGTGGCTTATGTTTCTCCATATAGATGCTCTTGTAAATGGTTGTTGTGTTTTCCGGGCTCTTTGGCCGTGTTCTGCAGGTTGTTCTTCCTAACGTTCTTCCTTCTCTTTTAAATTCTTCAATTTTAAATTAATCTTCCTTTTCTTTTAAATGTAAGTACAAAGAGAAGGGAAACAAACACTGAACAGGGCAGACAAACAGAAGGAATCCTTTGCATTAACCATTAAGGAAAATATAGTTCTAGAAGCGGTAAACGTGTTAGTAAAATGTAGTATATGACATATGGTGTGTAACAGGTCCGTAACAGGCTTTACAAGATTAACAGCTACAATTCAAACATACCTACAAGAAAGTAATTTCATAAAATTCAAACACAATTAAATCTGAGTAAACATACATATGACTGAGCTCTAAAACTCACAACAAAAATGATCAGTTTGTTTTGTAATCAAAATCTCCCTCTAGCGGCTAAAGAGCAGACCTTTACTAATAGCAACATTTTTTAATAAATTAGCCAGCTTAAGCCTCTCATATGTTGGCTCTGCCACATGAGTGTTGAAGTGGGATGCATTATAACAAAAATTAAATGTCTGTTTTAATGAAGCAGATTTAAATAAAGTTATACAAACATATTCTTTTATTCTATTTTAAATTAGCAATGGACACTCTACTGCTTTTCTCCCTGGGATAGTAGTAGTTGGAATTCAACAACAGAAACATATATTTATTTTTAAATTCCAGGAAACAAGATTAAGTTTTTTTTTTAAATTTACTTATATAACTTATTTTGCTTGACTAAAATAACTTTGGGGGTTTATTACTTCGCAGACACTAGAGAACAGATTTAAGCCAACTTTCTGTGGAGCACAATCTCATACATGCTTTCTCAGATATGGTGTTTTAATTTAAGTGGATACACAGCATTTTTGATTAAACTCTTTTTTGAACAAACTTAAAAAATGAATGAGTCACAGTTAACAAGGAGGAAACACACTGACACAAACCAATCCAGTCCTCTTCTGTATTACATTATATTTCAAGTTTTTAAAATCACTTCTATTGTAAATATGAGGAATGATATCTTCATAGCATATGCTCTTGTTTGTACAACCACGTAAGTGTTGAGATGTTCAGATAGACTATTCAAATTTTTGTTTTTACTTAGACATCATTACAAAATACCAGAAACTTCAGGGTAAAGGAGAAAAAGTCTAGGGACCCAACTATACAGTTACCAAAAATCACATTAAACCTCATGTGTCACCTTTTCAGGTTTCTTGCAATCACTCCTATGCAAGTTTATTCAGAAATATATCCACTGACTTCTCTGCACTTCCTTTCAAAACCTCGAGGACTGAGGCTGGAAAGTTCACACACACCCAGCACCAGCCTAACTAAACTGTACAGTATTTTATAAAAGCTTAAAGGTCAAGTTATTTGTTACATCTGATTGAAATGCAGTTCTTTACTTACTTCCAAATATGCTTCTCACTGAAATCAGCCGGGCTTACTTTGAATAATCCTATAAACGACTGAGCCAGATCTCAACATTCCTTTAATTTAAATTTTTTTAAAAAAAAGTTGGCTTTTCCTTGTGATGTACTTCTCGCGGCCAGAAAGCAAGTCCCGAAAACGCAAAGACGTTCATATTTCAATGGATTATACAGACAGAAATCTATCTATTTAGTCAAATATTTGCATCTTTTTCTCTTTTTTCAAGGGTTAAGTTTGAAAATGGGAAATTATAGTTGAGATACGTTCAGAGGAACAGCCCTGCGAGAGAGAGAGAGGGAGAACAAAGTACGCCGGATACTCACCAAGGCGGAAAACCAAGCAGAAAACGCCGCCGGTTCGAAAGACCGCGCGGCGAACCGGGACATCCCCGCCTCTTCCGCGGGCGTGGCCATGTCGTCACTTCCTATCGTGAGCCACAGCTTTATTATATTATATTCCAAAATTGCTGCGGTGATTGCAGAGCACCCTTGGATGGGATTCACAAGGCATTTCCATCTGTAGCAGGAGAGGAAACTGGTCCCGTTATTTTTAAAATGAAAGAAAGTAGACCTGGTCGCTTTTAGAGCACTTACTTTATAATGCTCGTCTCGTACTACTGTAGGAAAAAAACACTTTATAAAATGAGAGATGGTTCTGATTCAAGTAGGGTTAGCACGTAAAACCTTCAAACATTTTAATTTAACATGTTTAACTCCTTAAAATAAACTCATTGTCTTAAAACGCCTCCCGAATCGCATATTAGAGGTTTAATCTTAAAAATAGGCTGTTTTTCACGATCTGAAAGCACAAAAATCGTCCCTCTAGTTTCCTGAGTTTGTGTTGTTTTTAAGACAAAACTTTTGATTAGAACGTTAAAAGTAAAGCACTAGGATCTTGGCAACTGGTTGCATTCTTTTGTGGAGTTGGAAACTTTCCTTCTAGGTAGAATAGCAGCAAAGGCTTTGCGTTTTTCATCAGGACACAGGATTTTATAAAAAGAAAACCCGCTTCATGCTCTAGAGCTCTGACGACCCCCCCACACACACTTTGATAAATCTGGCTGGCCCTTTCCATGTTGTTGGACTGCAGTTCCCATTAGCTCTCACCACTGGTCATGCTTGCTACGACTGAGGGAAGTTGTGGGCCAATGTTTTGAAGGCCGCAGGCGCACGCGACGGAATGTAGGCGCTTGCAGATCTTGAGGCACTACAAATCCCATCAACAGAGGTACTACTGAGGCACCAGGCGACATGCAAATCTCCGGTGTCACATGTTCCCCTTTATTACAATCCTTTCTCAACCTAGTAACCTCATTTACATTGATAACCTTACATTCATGTCATACCATGAGTTATAATGTTTCATATTCTTCCACTTTTGAATTTAATTAGCAAAACTGCTAATACGCAAGAAGTACTGTACAGATGACGGAGCTTTATTTGTGCGACAGAAAGAGTGGCGGCAGGCGACTCTTGCTTTGCAGCGTTGAAATAGTCCCACCGGCGGAACTTTCCTCTGCCCGGTACAAACTGGGGCGTTTTGCCGGCTTTTGCGCCCTCACCAAAAATAACCTCCTGCTGGTTCCATGGCTTTGCGATTCGGTGCAGAAACTTCCTGTAACATCTAACAAGGGCGATGCCATTCAAGGTTACATAAATCTTATACCGATGACCTTTTCCCGACCAGTATTTTGCACCCTTTTTTTTTCAAAGCCCAGATGAAAAGCAATGAATGATTCAAGAATGAAATCTGTTTAATGAAACACACTGGAACGGAATACCGACCAGTAACATGCCGGACCCGATTCATAGCGGCCCTAACGAGCTGGCCGGTTGCATGATGATCTATACTGTAAAAGTATCGCCTATTCTTGTCCTTGAACAAGCGAAATGAGGTATTTAAAGAGTGGCTTTATTAGTGCTACACGCCCCTCCCCTCCCCCCGTGAATTTCCACGGCCGAGTCTGGATATTCGAACCCAGGCTGTCCCTCTGGCCATTGCACTGCAGGTGTTACCCGCGCAAACGCGGCGGAGCCAGCGCAGACAACACCCGGCTTCCCTTTCGAGGCTGCCTGGTCCCTACGGTTTTTTTCTGGGGAGCCCCCGCCCCGCCTCGTCGAGAGGCCACCTCCTCGCCTGTGGCGCTCTCGGGAGGCGCCGCCCTTTCATTGTCTCCGGCGCGCCAGCTGTGCCAGTCCAGCGACTGGTTCCTTCTGCCCTTGGTAGAAGGAGCCGCCTTCCGATCGGTGGCTCAGCCCCAGAAGTTTGGCTAGAGACCGAAGGAGGGGGGTTGCGGTTCGCTTAACAACGACTGGAATCTTCCTCCGAGTTGTATAAAGGGGCGGGGAGGTGAGTGCCGCAAAGGAGAGCAGCCTTAGCAGCATCGTTACTACAGGGCAGTTGGTTGTGTAAGCGAGGATCTGCAGGGAACTGGGCGAGAGAAGGGTAAGTGATACAGCCCTCCTTCTCTGTTCAGCAGAAGGGCGGGCGTTTATGTTGATGGAACTGTGGAGGAATTATACTTGCTGGCTGATAACAAGCGTAACGTCTTTAGGCAATTCGTTGCTACTGGGGGTTTACTGACGGAGCTCAGTCGTTCCCTCGCCGCTATTAAATTTATCAAGTGTTTCATTTTGGAAGCTGGCAATGATTATTAGAAAACAGCCTGTGTTTTATTCCACTTAGTTAGTTAGTTAGTTAGTTAGTTAGTTAGTTAGTTAGTTAAATAAAGGCAAAGTTGGATGAAGGTTGCTGGAATGCTTGTGAAGTAGATATCAAATGTAAAAATAGCTGAGAAGCCCATTTTTAAAAGAGGAAGAAGCCTGTGACTTTTAAAAGTGGTTAATATTTTTTTAAAGCCAAGTTAACATTTTCTTCCATATTTGAAGGAACCCTTTAATAAAGAGGGAGGAGTAAATAAAAGAAACAACCGTGGGAACAAGAAATGGGGTGTGTCTCGTCTAAGACTTAATTGACCAATACTGTATGTACTTTTGGCTAGTTATCTGTGATCTGATTTGAAGATAAATTTTAATTCTGTGAGAAGCAATCCTGATGCTCAGTTGCTCAAGGGATGAATTCCACATTGTGTGTTAGCTAACAAATGGAAAATAAGCATAATTGAAAGTTCTCTTTATTCCCATGCATATGTTTTGAGGTTTAATTAAACTGCAGAATTCTTAGTGAAAAGTTCTCTCTATATGTGAAAGGTTAGCTTTTGCTGATGTCTTCTTTGAAATACATAAGATAGAGAAAAATAGGTTCCTTTTAATGTTTCAGCTTTTCCTTTTGAAATGTTTTTCAGAGATGAAATACTCAGGTTGTGAGCCTGGTTGCTTATCTTGCCAAAACAGTGCCTCTGACATTGCACAGCGATTTCAGCAAACTTGGAGGGATCACAAGATAGGCACGAGTTTATAAAGAAGTATTGGGGTGCAGAAACATTAAAGTGAGGGACAAAATAGCAAAATGAGGAGTGAGTAGGTGGAGAGACTCATGAGGGGATGGGGGTTGGAATCCTAAACAGCAGTATTCCACATGGCAGCATTTTGTCGCAGGTCCCACTTGTCTGGCACAAGAGTTAACACTAAAGTTTCTGTCACACTGTACCACACTTGTAGCACAAACTAGAGACAGGATCCCAGATGGGATTCCTAGTGTCCAGAGTCAGTGGAACAGTGGTTCCTAACCTTGGGTCTCCAGATGCTCTTGGACTAAAACTCCCAGAAGCCCACACCACTAGCTGTGCCGGCCATGATTTGTGGGAGTTGTAGTCCAAGAGCATCTGGGGATCAAAGGTTGAGAAACGCTAGAGGGGTTTCTCAAATGCAGACCTACATCTTCTCCCATAAGGGAACTACGTACTGCTTAGTAGTTTAATTTGCCTGGAGAAAAGCTCTGCACTTGCTGTGCTGAGTCCAAGTTTGCCATCCGTTTCTGAGACTGGGCAGGCTTTTTGTAGGATTTGGGGTGTGGGAGTGAAGCTTCGTTTGCTAACATGGAGTGTACACTGTGAAGAGATGTGCTACACCTTCACACGGGATTCTTGCAATATGGAGACCTTCTATTCTTTAAGTAAATGGACCTGTTTCCCATATGTTTATATAAAAGTAGTCTAATGTTTGAGGGGTTCAGAGTGTATGTGTGCTGTTAGTAAGTAGTACCTCTAGTTTACACATTGGAAAGAGTAATGTGTGACACTACACCTGTTCTCTGACGCTGGTTCAGTGTTTATATTAATAAAAGTAATGTGAGAACCAGCCATCAGTGAGGGTGTAGTTTGTGGCATGGGTCAAAGTGACTCATGCTGCAACCTAACACCAACGGTTTTTGGCCATCAGTTCCACTCAGTTCCAACCTTACATTTGCTGTATTTCCGGCTGTGACCTAAGTCAGGGACAGAGCAGTGTGTTTGCTACTGTATTCACCTGTCTTCCCATTATCTTTGAGGTTATGACTTAACCTGGTGCTTTGACTATATTTGTGTTCATAACTTTGTGGCTCTGGTGCTTGAAATCCCCCAGCAATGAACTGGGAGACAGAGCCTGCGTTGTGCACACACAAGATCGCAGCTCTATGCTTTGGCATGTTGAGTGAAAGGATTGGCCGGTAGCAGGAATGGGCCAGAGCTCTGCTGGAAGTTCTGCAGATCTCAGGTCACAGAGGGTAGACAAGAACCTTTGGTCTGACTGCCTATAAAGCCATGTCAAGGTTTTCCATTGGCATAATGTACCTTAGATTGGAATCTGTGTCGCTGTCCCAGTCATTTCTAGAGTACAAAGGCAAGATATTTCCTCCTTGGAGGGACAAGAGGGAGGCATGAGAAGGAAAGGACTGTCATCGGCAACTCTTAAGGATAATACAATGGGGTCTTGACTTGAGAACTTAATCCGTATTGGAAGGCGGTTCTCAAGTCAAAAAGTCTACCTTGGAGGGACAAAAGGGAGTCATGAGAAGGAAAGGACTGTCATCAGCAACTCTTAAGGATAATATAAGGTTGAAGAAAGGTCAGCACAGGTCAGAGCAAGAAAAAGGTGATATAGGAAACCAGAGGAAGTCCTTTCTCTTTACTCTTCCCAGTGCAAAGACATACCATTTCTCTGATGTAAGTTAAGATACATCCAGTCATTTCTAAGAATTACAAATGAAGGTTCAAAATCCGTTTGATTCCTAAATTAAACTGGGAATTTGGAAGGATTGTTGTATGGAAACCAAACAGGTGGTAATGAGGATGAGCTGTGGAGGGGTGGGGAGATGACTCTTAGAAATAAACCCACAAGGAAACATCAGCAGGCACGTGATTTTTTTTCCACTGCAACTACCACAATTTAGTAGGAATTTCCCCAGCTAAAATTCTAGTGGTTTTAGCAAAAAAAAATTTAATTCTCAGGATCCTCACTTGTTTGTTGCCAAGGCTGTCTCTGTAGACAATTATTAAAACATCAACATGGGTGGATCTTTCTAAGCACCATGGGAACAGCAAAGTACTAGGGGAGTTTGTTTGAGAGACACTACGAACCCTAATGAGCAGAGAGACTACCACAAAACAGGAGATATTCGGGACCCATGTGGGTTGTATCTGACCTGCAGATACAGGACCCTCTAATCCTGGCCTTGAGAAAGAAGAAACCAGCTGTTGCCATTCCTCACTGTTTGCTTGGAAGCAGTTTCCATCTGTGTGAACGTTTTCAAGACTGAGCTTTTTGATGTACATGGTAGATGAGTTAGATTGCTGTAGATTCAGTAACTTTGGTCTTAGAAATATTACCTGATTCATAACTTTGCTTACTTCCAAAGAGGGAAAATAATTCAGTTGTGGATTCTGTGTTCTAAAGCAGTACAATCCCGTATAGGCTAGTTTTTCTGAATATGTTTGTGATTGGGTTCAGTACTCTCTTTGGGCAACCCCTCACTTTTGGCAGGAAATAAAACTGGAGACATTTTTATAATCTTCAAACTGTCACTTTTATTATTTCCACTCTCCTCCAGCACATTATTCAACAGATCAAAACTTCTCAATTCTGGCATCAGGCCATAACTAGGAGAACCAAAACTCTTTCCATATTCCCAGGGGCTCAGTGGGGAATTCGCCTACGTCATTCCCGATACATCGGTCTTTGGGGAGGAGTACTCATTAGGGCACAAATCGTCCCACAGCATGAGTGTCTCACCCAGCCCCTCTCATCTGGCTTATACAAACAGTTGTGGCCTATCTCCGTCTCTCTGAAGCGCTAACTCACGCAGTGCCACAGTTACGGTCCACTTCTGAGTCAAGAATTGTGCAGGTCTTCCTCCCTCCTTCTCGCTTCCTCTCATGTTCCTCCAAAACCGAATTGAACCAACACACCCCTTCCTCACTTATATCCTCCTCCCACACTGACACCTCTTGCTCCACCTCCTTTCCCTTCATGTCCTCCTCCACCAGACAAATCTGTACCTGTGGCGATCAACCCTTTGTTGCCCCTATTTCTTTGGGCCTTACAAAGGAACACACGCCCTTTTTGCTGCCACCAGGTATTCTCTAATACCACTTCGAGTCCCACACAAGAGCTGCCACCCCAAAAGGGTCATATAATTTAGGAAGCAGGGTTTAGGATTAAGTATTCTTTTATTATAGACTAAATCAACAGGAAAATCATATATGAGTTGGTTCAAGTGTTAATACTTTTATGATCATGTAGTCAATCACTTTACTATCAATTTTATATCTCTCTTGTTATGCTTATACGTTCATTCCTGTTGGTTCCATGTGCTTTACTTTTAATTTCCTTTCCTAAACCCCTTTGATCTATTCCTAAAACCTAACATTCTCTATACACCTTCTGGTCCCTGACTCTTTCTACCTCTCCCTAACTACAGCTGTCCCTAACTGTCTCTTCAACTCCTTAACTGTCACTCTAACTCCACCCCTCCTGCTCTATCCTTGGCTCCTCCCCCTTAGCTGCTGTGATGGACAGGTAGGAATGACATCATCTTTTTGGATTCCGCTGTAGTACATTTTCCACTTTTTTTCTCTAATTCAATTTTCTGAATCTCCTTTCTAACTGTCACTCCTTTAGTCACTGTCTTTTCCTCATTCTCATCATCCACTCCTCCTCCTACAGCCTCTATCACCACGGACGGCTCACTCTCACACACTTCGCCTTCACAATGCTAAATAGCTTTTAGCTGTGTGTCCTACTTTAGGTGGCGCTGCGGGCTAAACTGCAGAAGCCTGTGCTGCAGGGTCAGAAGACCAAGCAGTCGTAAGAGCGAATCCACGCGACGGAGTGAGCGCCCGTCGCTTGTCCCAGCTCCCGCCAACCTAGCGGTTCGAAAGCATGCAAATGCAAGTAGATCAATAGGGGCCACCTCGGTAGGAAGGTAACAGCGTTCCGTGTCTAAGTCGCACTGGCCATGTGACCACGGAAGATTGTCTTCGGACAAAACGCTGGCTCTATGACTTGGAAACGGGGATGAGCACGGCTCCCTAGAGTCGAACACGACTGGACAAAAAATTGTCAAGGGGAACCTTTACCTTTACCTTTACCTACTTTACAGAGAACAATTGTTTATTTGAAGTCATAATCTGTTTGTAGATTTTTCTTATAATGTTTTAAATTATTATTATTTTGCTGGTCAAATTTAACTCCATCTGACTTCTGAAAAAGTACATATGTTCTTGAATGCCCCTTTAGTGGTATGGTATTAACCAAAACCAAGTGTGTGGATATTTTTATAGTGTATTTCCCTTGATATTGTAAAAGGGATGTACCAGTTGTGCCTTCATTTACAAACGTCCTGAGTTACAACCAGCTCCGGACGCAAAATTTTGCTTCAACTTGTGGCCAGAGCTTCCAGTTACGAGCAGAAAAAGGCAGGGAATTCAAATTGCTAACCATTGGTAGGTGAAGAGGCTGCTTCTTTGTAGCTCTTTCACCCCAGCAATTAGAGAGTGTGTGGAGGAGGCTTCAGACTGCCTGGTAAGGTAAGGTGCTTCTTTCTGCTTTTTAAAAACTGTTCTGGGTGGGTTTTATAGAGTGGTTTGGGGCTGGGTGGTGGGATTATGTTTCTATGCTGTGATGGGTTTCTTTGTTTTTTGTTGGTTTTCCCCCCATTTCTGATGGGTCTTGGGGGGTTGTTTGTTTCTTGGTGGTTTCCCCCCCATTTCTGATGGGTCTTGTGGGTTTTGTTTGCTTTTTGTTTTGCTTTTTTTTTTTGCACTTCCAATGGGTCTTGCACTCTTTGCTTGCTTTCTGCTTTGCTTTTTTGCATTTCCGATGGGTCTTGCATGCATTGCTGCTTTCTGCTTTGTTTTTTTGCATTTCCGACGGGTCTTGCATGCTTTGCTTGCTTTTTGCTTTTCTTTTCTTGCATTTCTGATGGGTCTTACATGCTTTACTTGCTTTTTGCTTTGGTTTTTTTATTTTTTATGTTTTGCATTTCCAATGGGTCTTGTATGCTTTGGTTGCTTTCTGCTTTCCTTTTTCTCCATTTCCGATGGTTCATGCATGATTTACTTGCTTTTCTCCCCCCACCCCCGGTCAGAATGGATTAATCGCATTTCCAATCTTGCAGTGTTTTTTTTTATTTTTTTGTTGTTTTTTGTGAGGGTTTTTTTATGGTTTTTGTCTTTGGCTGGAACAGATTAATTGCATTTCAATGCATTTCTATGGGAAATAGTGCTTTGACTTACGACCATTTCGAGTTATGACTAGAGTTCTGGAACCAATTAAGTTTATAAGTCGAGGCACCACTGTAATTTTTCTGTCTATCAAAATACTCACAGTATTCTGCCTCAATTATCCAGTCTGTAGCAAGAGAAGCTTTCCTACAACTGTCAATTGTGAAGGAACATTTAGAAATATGAGTGTTTATCTCTTCAGGTGCTTAGATAATAAATACCATAAGCCTGTTTCTGTTTACATTATAGAATTTGGAAGGCCAATAACAGTGTTAGAATTAACTCTGCTGCATGGCTCATAAGCCAGTATTGATAATCCCCTTCCCAGCCTTCCATATTATGTCTAAATGAGTACTGTATTTGAGGTGCTGTGGATTCCCTTTGCTAGATGGTATGTCACACAAGTGTCTTTTTCTCTGCATTCCCTTGAGTCAATTAAGACAATTGTTTAAGGTCTACTCTACAGAACCCTTAACTAAGCAGGAATGGTATTTTATTTTTAGATACCAAGTATCTCTCTTCTTAAACAAATAAAGTTTACTTCAATTGTTTTGAAGAAATGTAGCTTTATCATTAAGCTTTCCAACCACACTCTTTAAAAATAAGATACAGTGTGATAATTCTGCTGGCCAATGTAATGACCAGCCTAACACCTCTGTTTAACAAGATCCTGATATGTGTGGCAGTCCCACATACAGTACCTGAATTTATCAAGCTTTATACATCGTAGCTTTGTGCTGTGAGGCTTGTGAATGGCTACTTATCTATTTGCATGTAGTATAGAGATGGCAACTTGTAGTTCTTCAAATGTTGTTGGAGTACATATCTATTTGTCCTCAATACTGGCTGGTGGAAGTTGCAGCCCCCAAAACATCTGACGGTCCATAATTTGCCAATGTCTGATGTAGCAAGTTAGAAGCTCTTCTTGAGAAAACTGGTTAGCAATGACTTCTAAAAGTTTTAAGTGTAGAGAGGTTTTGACAAGAGTCATCTGCAAGGACCTTTTAAACCTCAAAAAAAAAATGTTGCAGTGGCGTAGCAGGCCAGTTGTCAAACTGGGACTCGGGAGACCTGAGTTCAAAACTGTTATTTGCTTAGGGATTGGCAGTGGTAAATCTTTCCTTGAACATCCGACATACCTTGAAAACAAAACTACAACTGCAATAATTAAGAACTGACTGGACAGGATATCAGAACAACAGGAGGACTTTTGAAAGTTATGACCTTTCTGATTTGATCTAACATCTTGAATATTAATACATATTAACATATTTTGTGTGGATGTCAAGAAGTAAATAAATTATGGGTTAATATAATTAGAGCAATAGAAGGATTCACAGGGTATATTTTCTTAATAGATCCCATAGGACCTGTTGCTTAGTCAGGCATACAAAAGGCAAATAGCATAACTGCAATGGATTCTTGCTACTAATTAATGAGTTCCCACTTGGATTTTCAGGAGTATGCCAGTCCTGTGCATTGGTGTATGTCTGAAAATTCAAGCAAGGGCTTGTTGGCAAGTTGTATGTGTGGGTGCAAAGGCTTTTGTATAATGGGAATTTTCCTTAACACATAAGACTTTTTTTAATATTAACAAATTCCCACATTACACTGGCCATGTATTGGATGAAATTGGCCTGCTTGAGTATTCTCGCCTCCCAAAGAAGTTCTACAAAGAACAACTCCATAGTCCTTTTCAAAAGTCCTGGGTAAACTCAGTTAGACCCATTTTACAGAAGTATGGGATTAACACAGAGTCCTTGCCCACTTTTGCCTTTAATAGAGCCAAGCATCTGGTTAACGAAAGAAAAAAGAGTCTTCACTCTAAGTGTCCGGATTTGTGTGCCACCTCACAAATGTCCTGTTCTCATTGGTTCCCCCTGTACAAAACATTGTTTGGTTTGGAGAATTATTTTGTGAACCTAACCTCAGCCTCTTTAAGAAAAGCATTCACAGCTCTGTGTTTTCACTGTATGCCATCAGCCATTTTTGAGAGGGGGGGGAAGATATGATAATGTTCCATTTCATCAAAGACTCTATCTGTGGATCACGGGAGGTCGCAGATGCTTTCCATTATTTATTATGTTGCCCTTTGTATGAGCACTCCAAAAGCTAACTTCTTGCTGGAATTCTCAGACTCCTGTGTGATAGACACCCACCCGCACCTTGGCTCAACCTTGCACACTGCTTGTGGGTAGGGATGTAACTACTACCTGTCAAGTAGCAAAATGTGCTTTGGCAGCAAAGAAAATACATGTCAAGCATCAAAAGTCTTAAGAAGGGAAGCCATGTCATCTTGTATTTATCTATGGACACATTGTGTCAGTACAGTTTTGTGTTGCTGTTGATATTGCAGTGACTTATGCTTTTAAACAATAAAGTTTGTTCTGTTCTATATTCACAAATTATACTTTTTGTTTACTAATTTTGTGGTGGAGATGTCCCAACATAGCATGAAAGTACTTCGTGAAAGTGTTTTAATGAGAGAAAAAAGTTTTAACTAGCAAGCAGTAATACTCTAGAAATTAATTGAAAATTAGGAATTAACTGAAAAATCCATAACCAGCAAAAAAGAAAAAGAAAAAAGAAAAAAAGCAGCATGTCTAGTTTCAGTTTAACCCAGGAACATTTATTTGCATTGCTCTTGGACACTCAGTTACTGTTTTTGAATGATAACTAAGCAATTCGTTTTACCCTCAGCCTTATCTTGAACAGTCAAAAACAAGCACACCTTATCTCTTTGATACAGAAGTGACAGAGAAGTAGCAAACTCTGCAAAGCAAAAATTAAAACTAAACAGTGTTGCTGCTGTTACACAAACACTAAAATGTTGCTTGCATTTGATCATAAATAAAGCGATACTACAAAGCTGTTTACATACTCAGCTCCTGATGCAGTTCTATAGGTAGGAAAGATGCTTTTTGTGAGCTTTAACCTGATGCCCAAATAACTAATGCCTCCAGCTTAGGGGAGAAATTTTGGACTACAGTACCCTAAATCCAACCACGATGGCTAGCCAGCATTCCCAGAATCTCCTAAGTAGATTAATTTAAGTCTGTCTGTCACACACACAAAACCTCTGTCTTCTCCAGGTGTGTGCTTAATTCTGTATCTGGCTTATCGTTCTGCCCGCTCTTCAACCCTTTCATTTCTAGTGCTGTATTCCCTCTTCTGTCCATTGACTATTGGTTTAGAAGAATGGATGGAATGTCACAAAGGCTAAGTACAGACATTTATTTACAGGACAGTTAACTTACCACATGCATATATCGCTAACCATTTCACCATAGTTTCCTTAACCTGTCAGCACCTGATAGGCTGTTAAATTCTTCTTATCTCCTGGCAGGATGAACCAGTCAGCTACAAATTCTCAAGCAAACTGAACAAGTGTGCAAAACGTTGGAGGCATCTGCTTGAGAAGAAGGGCTAACAGCAGATAAACTCAGGTTGTCTTTATCCTGTAATACTACAAGTAAGTGTTTTGAGAGAAAAGGGCTTCCAGCCTGCAGGAAAGATTACTCTTGCATACTATTTAAGGAGTGGGAGAGGAAAGAAAAAGAGGGGTTGAGATATAATAAGCATTTTTCTCCTGTATTGATTTTAGTGAGAATGACAGAAACTTAATCATGCATACAGTGATATAGCAGAAAATCTCAATGAACTTCTTCAGTCTCTTCTTTATATTTCTTTTCAATCTAGGCAACAAATAACATAGACTTAGATATAAGGAATTACTCTATAGGAGCTACTTTTTTTAAAAAAGAGACTAAAACATTTTCACAGCCTAGAGGGAGAGAGGAATAGCATGTTCTGTGCATTCTAAGGTAAAGGAAATTATTATTAAAAACCTACTTACAGCATTATTTTGTACAAGCACAGCAAAAAGCATTCTATAGGCAAAATCAAAAGATGGGGGTGCCCCAAACAAAAAATTATAACTATGGAACTGGACCTCAGAGTAGCACCACATTTGGCCTGGATGCAGCAGAAAGTCTGCTGCTGAAGTGTGCCGAATTAGGGGATGCTTGGGCAAAGGGTTTTCGAGTTGTGATTTTTTTTAAAAGGAACGTTGTTTTAGACACCCCCCCAAGAACCAAGCAACCATAAACCTACAGCTGATTTTAAAAAGAGATAAAATATGTGGATAAGACAAAATTTGAATACCTGAAAAAAAGCCTGCTCTGTGGGAGGACCTTTTTTTCCTTTTGGGATGATGGGGTCATTCATGTCTGTAATGCAGAACCTTTAATTGCTGTTTTTTTAACCTCTGAAACTTTTGAAATAGCTGCCTTTTAAAAAAAACTTCCAAGAATTCCAAAGCTCCAATCTAAGGCACGGACAACAACACATTTCAAACTGAAGGGCTGGAAGGGACATTACATATCATTAAGTCCAGTCTCTGACAAGGAGGCACAGTGGGGAATTGAACTCCCAGTCTCTGGCTTTACAGTCAGAGACCTAAGCCACTGAGCTATCCAGCAGTTATTGGATCCACATGATTTTTTTACATAGGATCATCCCTAAAGCTCTGTCCAATCATAGGGCCCATCTGTGGCCACAGACTATACCACGGAAATCATGGTTTCCTCAGCACATGGTTTTTCATTAGTGCAAAACGTGGATCTGATGCACTGATCCCCATGGATTCACATGATTTATAACTAAGATATGATTTATAACTATGTCCAATCATAGGCCCCATTTGTGCTCATAGTGTAAAACACAGAAATCATTATTCCAGACTCATTCTGATTGGTCAGAATGCTATGCTGTGCAACTAATTTAGTCACTTAGAATGTTCACAATTCTATTATAGTTAGACATTATCCCTGATTAGGCCTCACCTTGTCCAGTTCTGGATACCGCACTTAAAGAAGGATGCTGACAAATTGGAACAAGTTCAGAGAAAGGCAACAAGGATGATTAGGGGGCTGGAAACCAAGCCCTATGAAGAAAGACTGAAAGAACTAGGCATTCATAGTCTTGAGAAATTAAAACTGAGGGGAGATATGAGACCACTTTTCAAATACTTGAGAAGTGGTCATACAAAGGAGGGGCAGGATCTGTTCTCAATGAACGAAAAGTGCAGGGCACACAATAATGGGCTCAAGTTAGAGGAAGCCAGATTTCAGTTGAATATTAGGAAAAACATCCTAACTGTTAGAGCAGTGCAACAGTGGAACCAGTTACCTTAAGAGGTGGTAAGTGATACAGCACTGGAGGCATTCAAGAAAAATTTAGACAACCACCTGGTAGATATTTTTGACTGGTATTCCTGCATTATAGGCCCCTTCCACCTTCATGATTCTGTATGTGTATGGTATAATAGACGCTGGTTACTTATTTTTGCTCCAGTGAGAGTTCAGACTTGAATTGATTGACTATACACTTTTCTGCTTTTCTGTCTACCTTCAGTGTCTCTACCTACACCACATTTTAAAATATCTGATTTTTGTCCCTGTCTGTCTTCACTATCTTCCTTTCACATAGTATGCATGATTTTGACCTTGCTTCCAGTGACATTCTTTGCTAACTCCAACTTCTTCCTTTTTTTATTATTTCAAAAAGCAAAGGGACGTATTTTGGAAAATATTTACAACAACACATCCATGGAGGTTTTGGTCCAATACATATTTTCTTTCTCAGCTTTCCTAACTCAAAGGGATATGAAATTGGAACATAGCTTTCCAGTCTGCATTTGGTGGAGCAGGCCTGGCAACATTAGTTTAACTGAGAGGTTAAAGGGTATGTATTAAAGATGGGCATGAACCTTGGTTTAGAGGTTTGGAGGAGGTGTAGAAGAGAGGTCTGTGCTCTTGCGGTGACTAGATAATCATGCAAAGAGTAGGAGAAAAGCAGCACACACTGGCTGGGGGGAGCCGCACCAGCAAAATGGCACAAACCTCCAGACTGAGGTTTGTGCCCATCTCCAGTATGTTTCTCCATTGTGGGTCACTTTTCTGAGTTGCCTAAAACAAAAATGGATGGTTAGAAATAGATTCAGTAATGATTCAGTGCTGAATTCAGTGTTTCGGAATTACTGTGCTCCTTTTTTATTTCATTTGCTGATCAGCTCTCTGATCAAAGAATGCTTATTTAATATTATTGCTTGGTATCATAACATTTATTACTAAAAGCCCCAAGCTACATCCACTACTATTTTACCAAATTAAGGATTTAGAGGAGGATGTGCTTACATTATCATTTTATTGTTCAAATATTTTAATAACTGTGCACAAGCTTTGGATACCACTCTACCTTTCACGTTCTACAAATGATACCTGAAACTTTGGCTTAAGACACTTAAAGAGACAGATTTCCAGCAAGTATTCTATTATTTTAAGAGCTATTCTAAGTTCACTACCATTCACACTTGTTGAAAAACAGCAGGTACAATTGCTTTGTGTTTGGGTGAAAACTGGTAACTGGTGAAAAATGGAGTCAGCTTCTGGGATTTTCCCTTGCTTGGTCTCACTTTCTGAATGATAGTGAGCAGAACAGGGTATCCTGTAGACCCGTTTCTGGGTTGTGGCCTTGGAAGGACCTGGCCACAGAGACAGATCTCCCGCTCTCCACATCCCCTGCATGCACGCCCCCGCATACACACACGGACACACACATGCCCTGCTCACGCCCACATGGATACCCACACAGCACCCCCATATGAACACATGGATGTCCCGGCCCCCATGCACACACAGGTCCCCCCCCACAGATGACGCCCCCCACCCGCACGCTAAACCAGTCTGTGGAGGCAAGAACCACACTTCCACAGGACATACCCTTCTGTTCACTATGATTCACACTTGTTGAAAAACTGCCCTATCAATTGCTTTGTGTTTGGGTGAGAAGTGATTAACTGCTAAGCTAAGCTTCTGGAATTTTCCCTCATGTGGTGTCACTTTGTGAATGGTAGCGGTGCGTAGGGACTCCTATTCAACACATTGGCCATTAGCCTTTGCAGTGTCTCAGAGTTCCACAGACTATTTCACATATATATGACAAACCTGAAAGAGGCTGCCCAGAATTTGGAGTTCTGTTACCACCAGTGTGCTGATGACACCCAACTCCCATCTCCTTTTTAATATCTTCCACGAAACCCTTCCCTTATTCTCTCAGACCCCAGTGTGTGGTCATTCCTAAGTCCCAGGGAAGCTGACTGTTACAGCTGAAGTTTGTTCTTGGCAGATAAGGGGAAAGCAAGCTGCCTGTATCTATTCCTTCTCTGGTCAATCTCCTTGCCACAAATTTCTTTGTCTAATTCCTGTGTTCTAATTCGGTTGGTCGTCACAGCTCAACCTCCCTCCTTCTCTCTCTCTCTCTCTCTCTCTCTCTCTCTCTCTCTGTGAGTACTCCCAGAAATCATCACCACTAGTTCTGATGGCTAGGATTTCTGGGAGTTGCAGTCCAAGAACATCTGGGGACCCAGATTTGGGAAACAGTGCTTTAAAGCATTAACTAACTTCATTAGAGTTTAGAAAGCAGTGGTTTTTTTAATTCATTAGAATTAGAAGGGAATAGATTTTTAAACAGTCAAATTCAATATCTAACTACGAATAATAGCTGTTGTTTTGTGATAACTTCAAGATCATTAAGAAAAATAAGTTTATTATAACTCCCCTTTTAAAAAAATTCCTTCTCTCTTGCCCTCTCTCTTGCATATAGGATTTGCGATGTTTGGTACTGTGGTGGTTGGGATTGGAATTGCTGGATCTGTGAGGATCAGAGACTTGCTGAATCCTTTGCCTTCCAGTCCTACAGAGCATCTGAAACTACTGGGCTTTGTGTCAAGGTGAGAGAAGTGTAATTATGTGGTATAAGAAAAAATATATCATAAGACAAATATATATGTATATATTGCAGGGAGCACAGCTTCCAAGGCTTTAAAATTTCTACCCTGACAGGCCAGTTGAATTGTCAGTATTCTGAGCATCGCAAAGGGAAATTCCCCCGTAGGGAACATCGCAAAGCGATCGCTTTTGCGATCGTAAAAAATGCGTCACAAAGTGATTTCATTGCTTATCAGAGCGATTTCTATGTGAGGCACCACTGTACTTTTATAACTTAATACAGTGGTGCCTCGCATAACGATATTAATTGGTTCCATTAAAAACATCGTTATGTGAAAACATCATTAAGCGAAACACCATTTCCCATAGGAATGCATTGAAAACCAGTTAATCCGTTCCAATAGGAGCCTATTCAATACATTTCAATGGTGAAAAAAAATCACCAAAAATTCAAAAAGACTCAGAACGAAGCCAAATTACTTTAAGGAAGGTTTTATTAGGTGCACTAACGATTCCAAGCATTTTAAACATGTTTTTAATATTTTAGAATATTTTTAAAATAGCCAAAACAGGGCTGTCAAAAAAAACGTTAAGCGAAACGGGACCTAAAACTGTCATCGTTAAGTGAGGCAAGGTCCCAAACATCGTTATGCAAAAATCCCCCATAGGAAACATCGTTAGGTGAGGCGGCATAATTTCCAGGAAAGGCCATCGTTATGCGAATTCATCGTTGAGCGAGCCACTCGTTAAGCGAGGCACCACTGTATAGGAAAATCTCATCTCTTTTGCAATACATTTGTAAGTTTTGGTTATTTTCATAGCTGCAGAGACATAGCCTTCCTAAATGGTAGAAGAAGAATATTACATGATTCAAATGATGTGCCTTTTATTGGGGGCCATTCAGATGCATTTTAAAGCAACTATAAAAGTAACTAGTTTCTTTTGAGAAAGTAGAACTAAGTAGTTACATTAAACTCTTCAACTGCAGCGGTAGCTATTCTAGGAGCCTTGCCACTGCAATTATAATTGCTTTTAATAGTAGTATCTCAAACTAATTCTGTTTAGGAGTTAACTGAAAGAGGAAATGGGAAGAAGAAGGCATTCTAGTCATACTAATACAATGGGAAACGTTGTGAATAAATAGCAGAGATTTTAATCTAGTAGTCTTTTTGCTCCTAAAATCATTGCACTGCCTACAAAAAAATATTACAGTGGACCCTTGACTTACAGACGGCTTGACTTACAGACTTTTTGAGTTACAGACTTCTCTGGCTGCAAAATTTAGGTTTGACTTGCAGACTGAGATTTGACTTACAGACCAGAAAAAAACCAAAATGGAACAAAAACGGCCTGTTATGGGATTAATCGGTTTTCAATGCACTGTAGGTCAATGGAGACTTGACTTACAGACTTTTTGACTTGAGAACCACCTTCCAATACGGATTAAGTTCTCAAGTCAAGACCCCACTGTATTCTATAGCTTCACCTTGATTACCTGTGATAGGATTTACAAACTCTAGCGTCATATACGTTAGAAGTTTGTTATGTGCTCCTTACCAAAAGAGAGAGACCCAGTGTGGTGTAGCAGATATAGTGATGGACTATGACTCAGGAGGCCTGGATTTGAATCCCTGCTCAACAATGGAAGCTCACTTGGGAAGTGGAACTATAAAAACCACTCCTTAAATATTTCATCTATTTTGAAACCCCTATTAGGATCGCTGTAAGTCGGTTTCAGTTTGATGGCACATAACAACCAAAAGTGTACCATTGGGTTTTCAAGTGATGGGTGTGTAAAACCTTCCAAAGAATGAGACGTATGTGTGTACGCTTGTTGCCAAGGTACCATTGTCCTTTCGATTAGCAAACTACTAAAATGTAACAGATGTTTTCACCAACCCTAACCTTGCTAACCCTAACCCAGAAGTACAAGCTGGATTCCGAAGGGGCAGAGGAACTCGAGACCAAATTGCTAACATGCGCTGGATTATGGAGAAAGCCAGAGAGTTCCAGAAAAATATCTACTTCTGCTTCATTGACTATGCAAAAGCCTTTGACTGTGTGGACCACAGCAAACTATGGCAAGTCCTTAAAGAAATGGGAGTGCCTGACCACTTTGTCTATCTCTTGAGAAACCTGTATGTAGGACAGGAAGCAACAGTTAGAACTGGATATGGAACATATTGATTGGTTCAAAATTGGGAAAGGAGTACGACAAGGCTGTATATTGTCCCCCGGCTTATTTAACTTATATGCAGAATACATCATGCGGAAGGCTGGACTGGAGGAATCCCAAGCCGGAATTAAGATTGCCAGAAGAAATATCAACAACCTCCGATATGCAGATGATACCACTCTG